TTGATGTCAAAACAATTTGATCAAAATGGCCTGATTTTCGATGTCAATTTCGATTCGATGAGTTTTCGATGACATCGACGTCGAAACGACGTCGATTCGACATCAGCCTTCTCACTGGGTTTTTGCCACTGCCAAGATACTGCTCCGCCGTGTTCAAAGTATGACGCAAAATCGTCCCGGATTCTGGTAGCAAGTCGAGTGTGGACATTATTAGATCTGCCAGTAGCATTGTTCATTTCTTGCAATGCCCCACGAATCAAGTCTACGTCATTTCTGGCAATGCGAGTGTATCGTCTTTGAAAGTTGTGCAATTTGTTTTCATTTTTTATTATAAAATTGTGTAAACATGTAGTCGCTTGGACAATTTTTACTGCAGTGGAAATGGACGAAATTATCGGACGTCGATAGATCCGCCATCGTGCCACCATAATTCCAAACGAACTTTCGACTACTCTTCGCGCTCGACTTAAACAATAATTAAATATTTTTTTTTGAAGAGTTAATCGACCACATCGAGAATACGGTCGCATCATATACTGATTCAAAGCAAATGCTTCATCTCCCACTAATACATACGGTAAAAGAGGCCCGTTAGGTTCCAGTACACTCATTTGCGGCAAATTCTTTTCATTTCTTTCAAATCGTTGACCAAAATTTGAATTTGCAAAAATACCTCCATCACTCAGTCTATCTTCGACTCCAATGTCGACTAGTGTGAAGCAGTAATTGGCGTCCGAAACTGCTAACAAATTGGGTTTCTTTCAACTATGGGTTCTTTTATAATTATAATATACTGATCCGCTATATATGTAGTGGTGCCTGAAATAAAAAAATTAAGATTGTTAAACCTTTGTGTCCATGCTAGAAACAAATAAATAAATAAAAATTAATACAAATAAATAGAAAATAATAATTCTGATAGATCTTACCTAAATTATAATATGCTTAATTCCATCTATCGCACCTATGCAATGCGGAAAATTCCATTTTGTTTCAAATTCATCCGCGATATTCAATCTCTCTTTATTTATTGGTGGCATTACAGATTTATGAAGAGAATTCCACAATGTTCCGCATGTTTCAGAAACAATTTTTGAAATAGTGTTTATTCCAACTCTAAATGCATAGGATATTGAAGTCATACTGTCACCGGAAGCTTAAAGTAACGCAAACATATTAAAAGTCGTGTGCGAGCCGGTATTGGGTCTTGAATAACAATCTGTTTTTCAAGAAGAGGCCTAACAATACTCAACAATTTATAAAATATTTCTCTAGACATTCTACAATAATTGTAGAACATCTCCTGATCTTGTAGCTCCATTTCTATGACCATGGATTGTCACTGGCTCCTTGCAAATGTCTTCGCAATTGTGTGAATATTGGACGAACCCATATCCTCTGACTTTCTTCTCCTTCACGCTCCATTACAAATTTCCATACTGCTATGAGTTTTAATATATTTCGTTTTTCAATTTTCCGGTATTGCAATGTTGATTTTGTTTTCCTTCATTTCCGCAATTTTATGCCAATAATCGCTAATTAAGATTGGAATCCATGTTCAAGAGATTTCACAAACGGAAAACGAGATCTTCAAATATATACTTTACAGCTTAATAAAGATTTAAAAAATAAAAAATTTAGTTTAGTTTCTTTCAGGGACTAATTATTTATATACATGTGATAAAAGCAGGATTGGGGGTAAGTTAATATTTTTTAAACTAAATACAATACCAATATAATATATGCAATAATAATAATAATTAATACAAATATTTGTATATATATAATATATTTTAAAATTAAAATAAAAATTTAACCCATTAACGTCCAGGCGGACACATTTTTTGAACAATTTTCAGTGGCTTAATTTTTTA